TAGCGTTCGCGTAAGAACTCATTATATTTTAGCTTTCATAGATAAAGCCACTTTACTTGAGATATTGCATTGACCGCCAAACAGCTCACAAACAGCTCAGTTCAATAAAAATGAATGGAATGAGCTTACTTCTATTTCCTTGGGGCGTCGTTTTAGTTTAACTGGAAAGAAAAATGACTACAGTAAAAATAATATAAAATAGGATGTAATGTATAGTTTTGTATATATTACCTAAGATAAGCAATAATTGACAAAGTTTTTTTACGTGGTAGAGCCTGGCTACAGCTATATTATCGTTGTACATAGCATGAATGGGTCAGCCCAACCGGGGTATCACCACGTTCTCATAGAATACCAACGTAAAATAGCAGCCTAATGCTGCTGTGTTTCGTATGGTGAGTGTAGAGGACCGGAGACTATTTTTACTAGAAACAAGGCATTCCATATTAGTTCTCAGGGGTGATAACGCATCTGCATTTTGATTCATAATTGAGGATAAATGTAGATATCTATGGATCACAGCATCCACTTACCATCAGGTGCACTGTGTGCTCGTTTGTCACCCGATTCTATATAAAAAAGTAAAGAAATTAGTCGTGAAATAATTGGTTGAATGCTGATCCTCGTCACGTCTTCGAAGTGAAGCTGACAATGGTAATGAGAATAGAGGTAACGGTCACAATCGCTTACCTTTCCAATTAACTGAACAACCACAGATGAAATGGAAAAACCTTTTCTTAAACAATTCCGCAAATTAATAAAATTCTATCATAATTCAAGCGTTACAAAGAAATAAAAACGTAGTTAACTAAGGGCTTGTTCTTTGTCGTGTAGTGGTAGCGTAAGAGAATTCACCATCCTATTTCATTCATAAGAGAAAAATGAAGGAGATGGCCAGCAGAATTTCTCTAATGACAATACTTTAAAAAGAATAAAACCTGCGGTTGTTCATCCGCCTGCCACTATGGTAGGTACTAAAATCCACTTAAGAAGAGATCTATTTTCAGCAGCTGACGTTTGAAAGACTGTAACTGTTACGGTAAACGCCTCCCACACACAGAATTTCCTTCTGTCCTTCCTTATCCCATGGCATGACAATATGAAGTAGCGGTTTCTCTTACGCCGTCATTAAGCGACTTCTATAATGAAAATAATATGATTACTCTGTAATTTCTTATGTAATTATGTGTATGAAATGATGACCTGAGCGAATAAAAGGCATGGACCGTAATATATACTACTAAGAGTATGTTATATTAAGAATATGTTGAGTTGCACCATAGCGATTACTTTCTTTGTTAAAAAGATAAGGCGATTGTCCAGTTTGTCGATTAAATCTATTCTTATATATCGAATCAATCGTATTATTTGCCGAGTAAACACTCGTAAGCTGATACTTTGGGCATTTGGTAAATTCTAAATTCAATATATTTTATTAAAGGAATATTATTATATCATTACTATAATATCATAATACAGTATATTCGTTCATCTCAGTATCAGCTCCATTAAATAAATAGGCTCGCACATAATACCATCATAATACTACAGTGTTTACTGTGGTAAGTGACAAGAACTGGACATTTTTTACTAGTCACTATAGTAGGCAACTTAGTCCTAAGGAATGACACAGAATTTGTATTTTGATTCTTAATCAAGCAGATTTGTGCCACAGGATCCACTTAATATCAGTTAGATTCTCATTTGTCACCTTTACTTCTTTAAAACAAAAACTGCACAATCGATTTGAGTGAAAACTTAAGCAAGCAAGCGGCAAGTATTAATTATGCAATTCCGCCACGAAAGAAATTGCTTAAGAGATGATAACCTAAGTCATAATAGACGTCTGAGTCGTCTGATATTGCGGTCGTTAACCCGCCTGCATGGCACGATGATCAAGGCTTATCCTTCCTACAACGGTATAGACTATCACATCCTGCAGTAGACTTTTACGAGCTGATGAAAAAGAATATGATAAGAACTAACGTAAAAAACTTACAAGCTTACACACTCGCACATATATATCCTTATGAAACAGTAGATTCAAATTATATAGATCAAAAAACGTGAATAACTGCTTAAATTTGGATAAGAATATCAGTAGTAAGCTGAAACTCAATCGGCTAGAAAGTGACTACAGAACAATAAATTCTCTGAATGGAACTGGCTAGGCCCTGTATACCTGAATGCATAGTTTACCCTGGGGATTAATATGATATTATGCGTCACAGACTGTAATAGAAGTCGTATGAAGTAAGGAAATACTTATTTATATACCAGTATTTGACCACAATCCTACAAGGTGTTAAATGTTGATGAAGCTTTAAACTTTTCAAATCTTCAAGCCAAACTGTGATACAAAATTAAAATATAAATAAATCAATATCAGATCCCTTCGCGCGGAACCTGGAATTACCGCGTCCTGCGAGAATGAATCATTTACGTAATAAATGTTATTACGTATAATACTATTGCCAACAACAACGATTCGTAATTTAAATTACAAAATTAACTTTATTTGTACATGAATAACAATAAAATAAAATATTATATTGTAAATTAATATTAAAAAGTCCCGCTGAATATTCTGTTGGTTCTTCCCAAGACAGAGATTTCTTTCAAACCAGTGGTAAAGCTTACATGACTTTCAATAATTATTCTTGTAATCTATATTGAATAAAATGATTCTTTCCTTTTTTATTCTACTTTAATATAAAATATAAATTACTTATTTAAAAGAAAATGAACACCTCTTTCAAATACCATGAAGTTTATGCATGATATATGTAAACAATTTTAATTAATTAAGTATTTTATTTATTTATTCTTTCATGAACCCAATGAGTCAACCTATGGAGTGATGAGAATTTGAAGTAGGTGTAGCAATATACAATAAAAACAAAATAGAAATTTATAATTAATTACGTTATATATACCTTTTACTAATATATACAATAAATAAACTATAAAAATATATCCTATTTATACATGTATACAAATATATACGTACATACATAAGCATACATATATTCATGACAACATACATATATAATAACACATATAAATAACTATAAATATATACGTCTAAAATATAAATGACATAAGAAGCGTTGTCTTTAACAGATGATTACGCACCAACTTTTTAAAAGCAAACTTTATTATAAATTAAAAACTATATAAATTAATTAAGTATTGATTATTATGGCAACTGTTTTCCTGATAATTTATCAATAATTTTATCATAAGGTAAAGATTGCTTGAATTATGATGTAATAATTTATACGTGGTAGAGCCACAGGTCGTAGGCTACGAATGGGTCGGTTCAGCCGGTGAAGGACCACGTTTACACAGAATACCAGCGTGAAATAGAAGCTTTACACTGCAGTGTTTTGTATGGTGTAGAAAACAAGACACCCTTTGAACTGGATAGGGGGCATCCTATCTTAGTCCTCAGGGGTGACAACGGATCTGCAATTTGGAATCTTAAGTGACGGAAATATAGATGTCTATGGGTCATAGTATGCTCTTACCGTCAGGTGAACTGTGTGTTAGTTTGTCACCCTTACACTATACAAAAATATTACTGTGCCTAACAGGGTTTATTAATTGTGTAGTCTTATGTCTTGTTAATAATTGTAGGGCAATGTCAAGTGCAATAATATTTTGCATATTTAGGCAATTTCAATTGTGACAAAGTAAATATTTGTATGTATGAGCACTATATTAAAACTACTAACAACTATTTGTTACATTGGATACAATTTCCAACTCTGTGTAAAGTTTTATAGTTCGCTTTTAAGGGTATAAAAAGTTTATCTGTTCAGAGAATAAACGAACAAGTTGTGAAAGATAATCCGTCACTCCATTTCGTCCCGTGGATGTCGTAAGAGTCAAGCGGTTTTGTGACACCTGAGGATTTAGGTTACCGTGTAATGGCGGTGTAAGAATGTCCAATATCATCCCGTGGGTAATGTAAGATATGACAGTGGGAAACAAATAAGGAGATAGGCTGCAGCGTCTTCCTAATAACGGCTAAAAATAAAAATAAACTGTGGTTGTCAACCCGCTTGCCAAACGTGGCGACGGAAAATATCCCCCCCCCCCCCATAAGGCAATCTGTGGGAGTAGACTATGTTCAACAGTGGACTTTGATAGGCTGTAACGGTAACAGATGGTGGCGATATTGCGTACTCGCTTACGCCACACGTAAAACATTTAGACCGGGGAGCAGCGTCACAGGTGCTCACATGTGATAGTGCTATTGTCAATCCACCTAGCAAGCGTGGACATTTAGCAAATACTCCATACAACGAAATAAATTCATGTTCAGTTGCAGACTTTTGCGAGTTGATGATAAACGAAAATCTTTTTTATATATAAAACTAGCTGACCCGGCTAACGTTGTTTTGCCATATACATTATTTCTAGGAAATATTTTTTACTTTTAAAAATCGCGATTAAAAAATAGGGGTTGAACGTAGGAGGGTGAAAATTTGAAGTTTAATGTACTTTTCAATGCTAAATCATAGTAAAATAAAAATAAAAAGTTTTGACAAAAAAAAAACATTTTGGGGTGGGTCACCCTTATCATTAAGGGGTTTGAAAAATAGATGTTGGCCGATTCTTAGATCTATCCCATATGCACACAAAATTTTTTATAAATCGTTTCAGTCGTTTCGGAGGAGTTTGGTAACAAAAACCGCGACACCAGAATTTTATATATTAAGAATATAAGGTTGACAAACGAACACACAGCCCACCAGACGGTAAGTGGATACTGTTGCCCATACACATCTACTTCTATGCCAGTTTAGTAATCATAATTCAGATGCATTTTAACTCATTAGAATTGGTGGGTACTTGTGTACGACTACGTATAAGTATAATTGTCATAGTTAAGAAATAAATCAGTGTGTTACTTGCAAGCAGTAGTTTCACTCGTGCCCCCTATAACGCATACGTACCAGTGGCGACGAATACCCACATATAATTTTTTTAAAATGGCCACAACGCAGTTCGGAATTTTATCAATTTTTGACCACAATGTGCAGTCATGGAATACGTACAAAGGCCGCCTCACGCAGTGGTTCATTGCAAATAATATTACTTCTGCAACTGATGTCCGAGGGGAAAAAAGAAGAGCGATACTCCTGAGCGCACTCTCTGACGGTACATACCAACTAGCGTCAGATCTTGCACTGCCTAAGGAAGTCCAAGAGGTGTCATTTGAGGATATCTTGAACATCCTGGATAGACATTTTACACCAAAGCGTCACGGGTTTAGTGAAAGAAGTACGTTTTACTCGGCAAAGCAACATCCAGGCGAATCACACGTTCAGTGGGCCGCAAGGCTTCGTGGGTTGACAGCTCACTGCTCATTCAGCAATGTAGAAGAAGCATTACGAGATAGATTTGTAATGGGGATGTTGCCGGGACCCGAGCGCGAGAAGTTGTTCGCTCAGGAACTGGCAGAGTTATCTTTGACAAAGGCAGTCGAACTGGCAGAGACGGTACGGTGCGCGCGCATCGCCGCATCCACCTCCGCCTCAGGATATGCAGCAGCGGTGCTCCCTGACATCAAAGAAGATCAGCTTCTCAAGATCACTGAAGGTGCACCCAATTCCAAACGAGTGGAAAAGTGTTCCGTGTGTGGACGTTCTAACCACAGTTCAGCAAAGTGTCGGTTTGCACAGTATAAGTGTAAAAAGTGTAATAAAAAAGGTCACTTACAAAAAATGTGTAAATTGAATTACGTTGAAGTTAAGGAGGTGGATGAGAGCGGGGACGACGGTAAGTTGTTTAACGTACATTCTAGGAATGGAGAACCCATAATTGAGCTGGTGACAATTAATGGCATTCCGTTAAAATTTGAAATTGATAGTGGGTCGGCGGTGTCGGTAATATCTAAAGACACATACGATTTATATTTTAATAGCATTCCCTTACAGCGAAGCGCTAAAAAATTGACATCGTATACCGGTAACAATATTAATTCCGCAGGACTAATAAGGGTGCCGGTAATATACTCGGGGCAGACGGCCGAACTTAATGTTTACGTAGTGCCCGGCGGCGGACCGCCGTTATTGGGTCGTGATTTTATGTCGATTTTTAAAATTAAATTAGTTAAGTGTAATTTTGTATCAAACACGGAAAACATTATGCTGAAATTTCAGCAACAATATCCTGAAGTGTTTTCCGATAATCTTGGTGCATTCAATAAATATAAAGTAAAGTTACAATTAAAACCAAATTCACAGCCTATTTTTTTTAAAGCACGACCAGTAGCTTTTTCACTTAAAAATAAAATAGACGAAGAAATCGACAGATTAGTAGATTTAGGGATTTTAAAACCCGTGGAATATTCCGAATACGCCTCTTTTATAGTACCGGTATTAAAACGAAACGGTACTGTAAGACTTTGTGCCGATTATTCAGTAAGTATTAACAAGCAGTTAATAGTGGAACAATATCCATTGCCGTCAATAAACGAGTTATTTGCGAAATTACACGGCGGACAACAATTTTCCAAAATAGACTTGTCGATGGCGTATAACCAATTTATTTTGGACGACGATTCACAAAAAATCACATGTGTCAACACTCATCGCGGGTTATATAAATATACGCGCATGGTGTTCGGACTTTCCTCTGCGCCGTCGATTTTCCAACGTGCGATGGATTGTGTACTGTCGGGGTTAGATGGAGTGCTATGCCTTTTAGACGATATTTTAATCACAGGAAAAAATGATACCGAGCATCTCGAGAGGTTACACGCGGTGTTTAATAGGCTAAGGGATGCAGGCCTAGTAGTACAAAAAGAAAAATGTGAATTCTTTCAAGAAGAAGTAAATTACTTAGGATACACTATTGATAAATACGGGTTAAAAAAGTCACATGAGAAGGTAAAAGCAATTGTAAAAGCACCGGTTCCAACTAACACAAATAAACTGCAGTCGTTTTTAGGGTTGGTTAACTATTATAGGAATTTCGTAAAAAATGCATCTAGCATTCTAAGCCCGCTATACGATCTTTTGAAAAAAGGTACTCAGTGGTGTTGGTCGCGTGTACACAGTGACGCTTTTAATAAAATAAAAAAGTGTTTAGCGTCCGAGACAGTCCTAGTGCATTTTAACCCTAATAATAAAATAATTTTAACTGTCGACGCTTCCCCGACTGGGTTAGGAGCGGTGTTATCACAGGTAGACAGCGACGGAGTTGAGAGACCTATTTCTTTTGCATCGCGCACTTTAAATACGTCAGAAAAAAGGTACTCTCAAATCCAGAAGGAGGCAACTGCAATTATTTTTGGTGTGAGACGTTTCCATCAATATTTATATGGAAGATCGGAACCATTTATTTTACGCACTGACCACAAACCACTCATAACTATATTCGGTCCTTACAAAGGTATCCCGGAGGTGTCTGCAAATAGGCTACAAAGGTATGCGTTATTTCTTAGTGGCTACAATTATCGCATAGAATACATCCGTAGCGTAGACAATTGTGCGGACTATTTATCGCGAGCGAGCTTGCCCGATATCACGGGGGACGCGGGGAGCAGTGTGAACAGCGACGGCTCAAGCATACACATAGGCGCTGACACACTCGACCGCGCATCTTACATTAACTTTGTCACAGATGGTAGCCTTCCTGTGACACGTAACATATTACGTGACGTCACGAGTAAGGATAACGTTCTAAATAAAGTAAAAAAATATGTGATGGACGGGTGGCCTAGAAAGCTGTATGATATAAACATAAAACCTTATTTTTTATGTAAAACACAGTTATCTTTTGAAGATGGATGCTTAATGCGAGGGCACAAAATAGTTTTGCCTGAGCGGTTGCGGTTTAAGATTCTGTCCGAGTTACACAATTCCCATCTTGGTGTGGTAAAAACAAAAGCGGAAGCTCGGTCTAGGTTTTGGTTCCCGGGTATTGATACAGCCATAGAAAAAATGATCGGTTCATGCAAAATATGCACCCAGCTGCGTCATTCCCCACCACGAACGCCTATATCACCATGGAAATATCCTCCATTACCATTTTATAGGATCCATATGGACTTCTTAGGACCGTTTCATGGTCATATGTACTTAGTAATTGTGGATGCTTATACAAAATGGGTGGAAGTATACGAAGTACCGTCTACTTCGTCGTCTGTGATCGAAAAACTCTACGAGTATATATCGAGATTCGGATTACCTCAAACTATCGTGACCGACAACGCGGCTACATTTACTTCATACGAGTTTAAAAATTTCTGTATGGTTAACGGTATCACACATGTAACGTCACCGCCGTATCACCCCGCTAGTAACGGTCAGGCTGAAGGGTACGTTAAAATAGTGAAAAAGGGGTTAAAATCATGTTTACTTTCAATTAATAACAATAATAAAAAAGAATATAAATTAAAATTACTTAAATTCTTATTCGATTATAGGAACTCCTTACATAGCACAACTTCTTTGTCACCTGCTCAATTAGTTTTCGGTCACAAGTTGAGATCACGGTTGGACTTAATGAGCCATGTTATACCGCCTTCATCCACATCCTTGGAAAATAAAGTCCAAAACAAACAGTATTTGCAGATTAAGGCACATGGGGGAAAATATGCGAAGCCTTTTGAAACCGGGGCAAAGGTTTTGTATAAAAAATTTAAAAATAATAACACATATAATTGGTGTCGTGGCGTTGTAATAAAAAGAATAGGCAAAGTCACGTATATAATAAAGGATATATATACGTCAGCAAGTGTAAAAAAACACAAAAATCAAATCATGCGTGACCAAGGACCATGTCACGATGAACAACAAAATTTCGACATTGATTTTGACCGTCAAAATTTAACTGATAACACCAGGAAAGAAAATATCACAATGCCGGCTTCAGACGAGCCGCAAACTACCTGCGGGGAAGAGGAATTGGTGCAAAATGACGTAAACTCAACTAACGTAAACAATGAGTCTAACATATCGTCGGAGCCAGTTTCAATGGACACTGTGGCTAATCAGACTATGGCCACCATTGCACGTAACAACCCCGGTTCTAGGGTTTGTTTACGCCCATTACCCAAGGTGGACTATCGTCGTTTCCTTTAATTAAGTTATGTAGTTGTTAACTAGGGGGAGGAAATGGTGGGTACTTGTGTACGACTACGTATAAGTATAATTGTCATAGTTAAGAAATAAATCAGTGTGTTACTTGCAAGCAGTAGTTTCACTCGTGCCCCCTATAACGCATACGTACCAAGAATTAAGATGGAATGACTATAATTTCCAGTAATCTCTGATTCTCTGAACTCCCCATACGAAACACATCTGTATTAAGCTGCTATTTTAGCCAACCGATTCGTGCTACAACCATAATATAGCGGCATCATGGCTCTACATCGTAAAATTATATAAAATACTTGTTTCATGCTAGTTTCGAACTGGTTTTCCCGCAGCGCTCCAATTCATTACTAAACCCCTGCATCACGGAGCTATCAGAATTCATAAGAACATAATAAACATAACGTATAATTATTACTTTATATTCCCCATTGCACGATACAACCTCGTTACAACGAACATACAACTCGCAATAACGTCGCGCGGGAGTTTACCGTCGTAATTGAATTAATTAGCTGTGCGACCAAACTGTTTTTAGAATCGTTTTTGATTTGTTTACTGTTTGCATAGGTACATGTTATGGGAAAAGTTTTTGTGTGGTTTTTATCGAAGCGAATAATAAATTACTATTTTTGGAAATATTTGTCGACAATGTTCAATACAGGACAAGGCAATACGGGTCTTCACCCCTTTGTTGTCGATATTCCACGCAATAGAACCGAACATAGGTTTAGAACCTACCTTTGTTATTGAGTTTAGAAACTTACGATAGAATAATTTGTCGGCGTCTATCTTTCCGTCCGAATACAATCTGGGTGTCTTCAAGGCTGCAGTGAATATGCTTTCGTCACGCTAAAAAAGTGCGAGTTACAATCTAGGGCTTCATCATCACTTACCATCAGGTTTGATTGTGGTCAAGTGCTCGCTTATAATAAGTTAAAATGTAAGTAGTAGTAGTAATAGTTACATCCATACTATACGTCCCACTAGGAGGATGATGTGCCCACTATTGCTCTTTTTATATATTATGCGAGGGTTTTTTTTTCTCTTTATCTGTTAAGGGATTTTGTTTATGGTCAATGACACTTCCATTATAACTAACTTAAAATCTGTATTTAAATAAAACTAATATTACGGATTTTATCGCGTATATTAACTTATTTTATATTCCCAACGTTTCGAGCACTTTCCAGCACCCATGGTCACGGGGGAGACTGAGGTGTATGACGTCCCAATGTCATAGTTAACCACGGTCAGATTATGTAAGTTCATACTGCGTAGATCGGAACAAAAATTAATAATTTTTAATCTGGAGGTAGCCGGTTGTACAGTCTCGTTTTCAAGTTTTGATGTATACCTGACGAGAAGATGTGCCATTTTTTCCCGAACGCTGCCCAGCCGAGTTGAATCCGTCGATTGACCTCTCGGTTGAAGTTGGACTTACCTAGTCAGACTATTTGTCCCAAATAAACATACTTGTCAACAACTTCGAGCTAAGCGCTCCCAATAACTACCGTCGTAGGTGTGACATGGACGTTATACATGATCTTTGTTTTGTCCATGTTCATCTTGAGACCTATCCATTAAAAAACACTGTTGAGGTCATTGAGCATGGTGGTCTAAGGTCCTCCAGCAATTCTGTCATAAGGACTATATCGTCGGCAAATCGAAGGTGAGTGATGTACTCTTCGTTGATGTTAATACCGTATCCTTTCGAGTTCAGAAGCTTGAAAACGTCTTCCAAAGCAGCGATGAAGTGTTTCGGGGATATAACCTCACCCTGTCTTAAGCCTCTCTGCAGTTGAACAGGTTTCGTACTCTGCTTCTGCACTCGGATAAAAATCGTAGCCCTACTGTACAAATACTTCAGCACTTCGATATACCGACAGTCAACTTGGCATCGTTGAAGGGACAGCAGCATCGCCCAAATTTCGATGGATTCAAAGGCTTTCTCATAGTCCAGACATAGTGGCAAATTGTACCCCTCGGACTTCTGTACAATTTCCCAAAGAGTATATATGTGGTCTATGGTGACAAATCCTTTTCGGAAACCGGCTTGTTCGGGAGGCTGGAAGTCGTCGAGTCTGCATGTGAGACGTTTCGTAATGATTCTCTAAAACAACACGTAGACGCGGCTCAGAAGGGAAATCGGTCTGTATTTCTTCAAGAGAGCGTTGTCGCCTTTCTTGAAGAACAAGATGACCACACTTCTGCTCCATGCCTCCGGTATAGTGCCACCATCGGAGAGCTTCCAAAGGAATTCAAGTATCGGTATTCCATTCGTTTTCAGAAGCTCCGCTGTAATTTCATCCTCGCATGGGCCCTTGCCTTAGAGGAGAGCCATTCTAATCTCACTCCGACTGACGTCCAGAATATTCTCGGAATAGTATCAAATAAGACTTGCTCTTGGATCGCTACTCACACTTGCGTGTGGCTCCAACGATGATGTGTACAGCTGCCCATAGAACCTCTTAATCTCACTCACAATCTCAGGTGTCCCGGAAACGACGCTGCCGCACTCGGCTTTCAGCTTCGACAGTTAGCTATTTCTGGCAGACATATCTCTAGCAAAGACTTTGGAGCCCTTGTTTTGTTGGATCGCTTCTTTAATACGAGCAGTATTAAAGTTGCGTAAGTCCTGCCGCATGCATTTGAAGATCTGTCTGTTCAGTTTCCTGTGTGCTGTCAAATCTACTGAAGACTGCGGCTTCATGTCCCTTCTAACAGCCATGATATTAAGAGTGTTATTGGAGATTTTTTGTGTATTTCTGCGTCTAGTTTTGCAAAACTTAGCTCCGACCGCATGGACAGTTTCCACGAGCTTGTCATTCATATCGTCCACTATATTGCGATCTTTTGGGCGCTGAAAACGGTTTTGTAACTCGAGCTGAAAGGTTTCGGGGCTATGGATTAGAGCACGAAGGTGACGGAGCGTTGACTTCATTAGAAGTGACAACTCCTACTTAACGTTTCGGTTTAGCGTGTCTTTTGCCATTCGGTGAAAGCTGCCGGTTTTTACCCTCGCGATCACTGAGACATTACTGAACAGTTGTTGTCTGGTCGTCATAATGTAGTCAATCTCATTTTTTGTCGAACCGTCGAGGCTCGACCAGGTCTACTTCCTGTAGGACCGCTTCTGGAGAAAAGATTTCGTCATAAAGATTCCCTCTTTCTCCATGACATCGACCAGCTGCTGGCCCCTTGGGTTCCGTTTCCCTATTCCATATTTCCCTACCTTTAGCTCCCCGTTCTCTTGTGCCTAGTTTTGCGTTGAAGTCTCCCATTAATACCGTAAAGTGGGTTTTGGAGGAATGCATGGCTCTAGAGATATCCTTATACATTTCCTCCACCTCCTCATTGGGATGTGCTGAGGTTCGTGCGTAAACCTGTACGACCTTCAGCGAATATCGTTTGGTGATTCTGAGTAAAAGGTACGCAACCCTTGTCGGCACACTCTCAACCTTTACAACGTTGTTAACGAGAGACTTGTGGACGGTAAATCCGACACCTCCTTGGGACAGACGGTCGCCCTCCCGGTGACAGAACAAGTTGCTGGATTTGAGGGTTACCAAGTCCTCACTTTCTCTTCGGACCTCAGATAATCCTATAATATTCCAGCGCATTTTGTCCTGGGGGGGTATATTGCCATAGTTGTCATGCTTGGCGAGCGGGTGGTCACCCATATTATATAAAAAATCAGAATTCTAAAATTGTGCGTCCTTTTTGTTGTAAGTCAATACAAGAGAATACGAATTTTTTAAATTAAATATAGATCACATGTGTAATTCTTATTGAAAGTCACTTTTACTTTACCACAGGTTCGAAAAAGGCCTTTGTCATGGGAAGAACCAGCAAGAAATCCAGCAGGCCTTTTTTGAAAGTAAATCTGACATGAATGGTTGTATAAACTATTAACAAAATTTATTATAGAAACAGCTTGGAAGTAACCACCTCATTCCGAGGGCGACATCCTCATTAAGGATAAAGGAAAAATTTTAACGTATTAAGTGCGATAAAATTATGAAATTATTTTATATGTAATGCAGTATGCTGCATTATTTATAAAATGAGACGTGAAGTATCCACCATTCCATACTACCTCTTACTATACTCATTTAATTAAAAAATTTAATCATAAAGTTTTGTTGTCATATATGGTTACATTTTTGAAGCGGTTGACCATCATGTTTGTTTTATTTTCTTGTATATTTAAAACATCTAATAACGTCACCGTTACGGTTACAGCCTATCAAAGTCAACTTCTAAATACAGGTTTTATCCATAGACTACCTCGTGGAAGGGATATTTATGATTGGGTTAACAACCACATTTTTTCATGTTATTAAGAAGGCGCTGCTCCCCATCTCCTTCTTTGTTTTTCCTTTGTCGCTCTTACGACGATATGGGGTAGTGCCTGGTCTAATGCCTGGTCTAAAACAAACATGTAATATGTAATTATTTCTTATATTTACGCTAAGACTACACACATTAAATGAAACTAATATGTAGTTCAACTAGATTTCACGTTTCCTTATTTATCCCCTGTTTTTCTTTTATCCGGATCTTTATTTATAGTATATCATATAATGAGTATAGTAAAAGGTGACAGTGGGAAACTGACACAGAAAATGGGTAGCAGCATCTTCTTGGTAATAACTCAGTATAACATGGAGGTAAATTTTGTTACAAAGTAAATTAGTTTTACCGCGTTACAATCGTCTCTCTCGGTTGCCTAGCTTCGTCATTTTGAGCACTGCGCTACGGCAATATATTACGGTGAAAATTATTGTTCAGACTTACAACCTAAATATCTTTCTAAATACATT